CAGACAAAGTGCGCAGACAAACAAAAAATACTTAGACAACGACAGAAAAATCAACAATACATGCATGCATGCACGCACGCACGCACGCACGCACGCACGCACGCACACACACGCACGCACACACGCGCGCACGCACACACAAACGCACGCACACACACACACACACGCACATAAAACCTTGAAAAAATCACTCAACAACCACGTACACAGACAGACAACAAAACAAAGGCATCAAATATCTCCAAACCACAATAGATAAAAAATATATATCTTTGTTCTTCTCTTTTACTCTCATTCTCATTCTCCCTTATGTTCCCTTCTCCCTCTGCCTCTTCTTCTTTATTCTCCTCCATCTCCCTCCCTTTAACTTCTCTCTCCCTTTCCACCTTCCCCTCGCTCTCCCTCTCCTTCTCCACCCTTCCTCTTCTTTTCCCCCTTCCTCTCTCTCTCCCTCTTCTTCTCCACCCTTCCTCTTCCTCCCCCTCCCCCATTCCTCTTCCTCCCCCTCCCCCATTCCTCTCCCTCTCCCTCTCCCCCTTCCTCTCTCTCTCCCTCTGCCCCTTCCTCTCTCTCTCCCTCTGCCCCTTCCTCTCTCTCTCCCTCTGCCCCTTCCCTTCCCTCTCCCTCTCCCCCTTCCTCTCACTCTCCCTCTCCTTCTCCACCCTTCCTCTCCCTCTCTCCCTTCATCTCCATCTCCCTCTCCCACTCCCCCTTACTCTCCCTCTCCCTCTCCCTCACCTTGTCCCTCCCTCTCTCTCTCCCTCTCCCTCTCCCTCCCTTTCCCTCTCTCCTTGTCCCTCTCCCTCTCCCTCTCTCCTTGTCTCTCCCTGACATCTCAAGGCCACATAAGCAAATCATACAGTGTCAGCGCGCGTGCCAAGCGTCCAGTGTCATAAACCTGAACTCTTTAAGTGTTTGAGGAGGGAGGGAGGGAGGGAGGGAGGGAGAGAAGAAGGGAGGGAGAGAAGAAGGGAGGGAGGGAGGGAGAAGGAGGGAGGAGAGGAGAGGAGGAGAAGGGAGATGGGAGGGAGGAGAAGGGAGGGAGGGAGAAGGGAGGGAGGGAAAAGGGAGGGAGGAAGAGGAGGAGAAGGGAGAAGAGAAGGGAGAAGGGAGGAGGGAGGGAGGAGAAAAGAGGAAAGCGATGAAGAAAAAATAAAATAAAACGAAATGAAAAACAGAGAAAAAAGAGAAAAATACAAATAAAAACAAAGTACTAAAAATAAAAAATAAAAAGAAGAAGGAGGAGGAGGAGGAGGAGGAGATAGCCCCGAGAGCGGACGTTAAACCCTGAGGCGCGTCCGGAGTACGAGGGCGGAGTAAAAACCGACGCCCGAAGACGCTGCCAAACAAACAGACTCGAGTGCGAAGGGGGAATAGAGGAGGGGAGGGAGAGGGGGAGGAGGAAGGGGGAGGGGAAGGGGAAGGGGGAGGAGGAGGAAGGGGGAAGGGGAGTGGAAGAGGAGGAAGGGGGAGGGGGAGGAGGGAGGAGAGGGAAGAGGAGGGAGGCGGGGAAGGGTAGTGGAGGAGGGGGGAGGAGGGGAGAGGGAGAGGGTGGGAGTTGTAGGGGATGTAAGGGGAGAGGGGAGGGGGGGAGGGTAAGCTGAGGGTTGATTGAGAGGATAATGAGCTTGAGAAGACGAAAACGAGTAGTTAGATATCTAAAGCATCCACATATGCGAACAGACGGATCCCTCCCCTCCCCCCCCCTCTCTCTCTCCCATTCTCACTTTAACCCCTATCATTCACTCTCTCTCTCTCTCTCTCTCTCTCTCTCTCTCTCTCTCTCTCTCTCTCTCTCTCCCATTCTCACTTTAACCCCTATCATTCTCTCTCTCTCTCTCTCTCTCTCTCTCTCTCTCTCTCTCTCTCTCTCTCTCTCTCTCTCTCTCTCCCTCTCCATTCCCTATCTAAAAATAAATGTATAAAAAAAAAATCTCACCCCCCCCCATGTCCTCAATCTTCGAAAATCCCGGCCGGCGGTTTCCGTTCTGAACGAGAATCCTAAACCGTGTCCTTGGGGGGAGAAAGGGGGTATGGGGAGGGGAGGGGGGAGGGGAGGGGGGGAAAGCAGGTATGGAGAGGGGCAGGGGAGGTATGGGGAAAGGGGGGGGAGGCTGTATGGGGAGGGGAAGGGGGAGAAAGCAGGCATGGGGAGGGGCAGGGGGAGGGGGGAGGGGAGGTATGGGGAGGGGAAGGGGGGGAGAGGAGGGGAGGTATGGGGAGGGGGGAGAGGAGGGGAGGTATGGGGAGGGGAAGGGAGGGACAAAGGAGGGAGAGAAGAGGGAGAAGAGGTATGGGGAGGGAAGGAGGGGAGAGATATGGGGAGGGGAAAGGGGGAGAGGAGGTATGGGGAAGGGAAGGGGAGGGGGGAGAGGAGGTATGGGGGAGGGGGGGAGAAAGGAACTATGGAGAGGGGATGGCGGAGAAAGAGGGTATGGGGAGGCGGGAAGGGGAAGAGAGGGGGTATCTGGAAGGGGGAGGGGTTAATGTGGAGAAGTGAGGTGGATTTGGGGGGGAGGGGGGGGCCATAACACTCGCTCGTACCCCGGATGTGACTCAGAAAACTATCACAGCCGGCGGGGGTGACATCTAGATACCCTTTGTGGCACTTTCATAACATCGGGCACATAATTACTAACGCATGAACTTGCAAACACACGCACACACGCACGCACACGCACACACACACACACACACACACACGCACACACACACTCACTCTCTCTGTCTCTCTGTCTCTCTGTCTCTTTCTCTCTCTCTCTCTCTCTCTCTCTCTCTCTCTCTCTCTCTCTCTCTCTCTCTCTCTCTCTCTCTCTCTCTCTCTCTCTCACACACACACACACACACACACATACACGCCCCTCCCCCCCCCCCCCCCCTCCCACACACACACACACACACCCAAAATCCATTATTTTGCAAAATCGACGTCATATCTGCAACGCCCGAGTGAGCAATGCAAGGCGATACGGCCGCTACTTCATCATTCTCCGCTCGCAAAAATATCCTGGCGAGGGAGACGTAATCCTATCCTATCCTAAACTCTCCTTCGCGTCTCCGTTTCCCTTCTCATCCTACTCGCGAGGTTGATCTCTCTCTCTCTTTATCGAGCTTTCTATCTTATTCTCTCTTTGTCTTTCTTTCGGTCTCTCTTTCTCTACCTCTTTCTCTCCTCTCTATCTTCCTCAGTCTCTTTATCTCTCTCTCTCTCTCTCTCTCTCTCTCTCTCTCTCTCTCTCTCTCTCTCTCTCTCTCTCTCTCTCTCTCTCTCTCTCTCTCTCTCTCTTTTTCTCTCTTGATTTTTATATCAATCTGTTTTCTTATCTATTTATCTCTTTATTTTCCTCTTTCTCTCTCTTTCTATCCTCCCCTCTTTATCTCTTCCTGCCTGCCTGCCTGCCTGCCTGTCTCTCACTCTCTCTCTCTCTCTCTCTCTCTCTCTCTCTCTCTCTCTCTCTCTCTCTCTCTCTCTCTCTCTCTCTCTCTCTCTCTTTCTCTCTCTCTCTTTCTCTCTCTTGATTTTTATATCAATCTGTTTTCTTATCTTTATTTTCCTCTTTCTCTCTCTTTCTATCCTCCCCTCTTTATCTCTTCCTGCCTGCCTGCCTGCCTGCCTGCCTCTCTCTCTCTCTCTCGTCCTTGTCTCCATCCTTTACCTGCGTCTTCGTTGTCACTCCTTGCCCTTCTCACTCTAAATTTCCCCCAGTCACTATACCCTTCCCTCCTCTATCGGCCTCCGTCATCGTTCCTATCGCTCTCCACCCTTCACTTGTCACCTTTATCACTTTATTTCAACCCCACTTTCACTCATCATCAACGCCACTCTGCGTACATCAATCGCCAGTCTCTCTGCCCCTCTTCTTCCGTCCTTCCTTCCCTCCCCTCTCTTCGGGCATCCCTTCCTCCCTTCCCTCTCCCCTCCCTCCCCTCTCTTCGGTCACCCCTTCCTCCCTTCCCTCTATCTCTCTATACCCTTCCTTACATCCTCCCTTTCTACCTTCTTACCCTCTCTCTCTCTTCTCTCTCTCCCTACCCTCTCCCATTTACCTCCTTCCATTTCACATCCTCCCTTTCTCCTCTTTCCCTCCCTCCCTCCTTACCCTCCCCCTCTCTCCCACCCTCCCTATCCTCTCCCTCCCTCCTCCTCTCTCCCACCCCCTCCCCCCCTCCTTCTCCCTACCCCTCACTCGTCGCCACTCCCCACTTTGCACTCGCACCCCAACCTTGGCAAGGTCACCTCTCTCTCTCTCTCCTCCCTCAGGTCACGCCCCCCCCCCCTCCCCTCATGTTAAAGGTCAATCACTCACGACCTGTCAAACGCGAGATCAAAGCGCCGTCAGAGAGAAGAAAATCGAGTGAGTGTTAGCTGGGGGGTGGGGGGTGGGGATTTTTTTCGATAAAGGAAAGGGTGAGAAGTAATTCCAGTAGTCATAATTACGACCTATAATTATCTAATGGACTTCTGCTACTCGGATTACTCGAATGAGAACAGTATCGCCTGGGGGGCAGTTGAACATTCGGAAAAAAACAATCACAAAACAAAATAAATAAATAAATGATTGAATAAATAAATAACAGTACCATCACCTCCACCAGTAAAAACAGCAGCTGCACCACGCATGCAACAACAACCATAATACTCCATAATACACCAGCAACAACACCACAATCTCCATTCACAACAACAACAACAACAGCAACAATAACAACAACAATAATCTGCACCATGACACCATGCATCATGAAAGAGAAAGAAAAAGGAAAATAAAGAGATAAATAGATAAGAAAACAGATTGATATAAAAATCATGAGAGAAAAAGAGAAAGAGAAAGAGAGAGAGAGAGAAACAAAGTCAGAGAAAGAAAGAGGGGGGGGGGAGGGGGAAGAGAGCCAATTATAAAACATCAGCAGCAGTACCACAATCCCCATCAACAACAACAACAACAGCCCTACCACCCCTACACACCATACAACCACCATAACCCTCCACAATACAACAGCCACAATACAACATCAACCATCACCAACAACAACAACAGCAGAAATCCCAACCACGCCACTACCACCACCATACAGTGTCAAACATCAACCACAACTTTCCAACTATACTTCCAACACCACGACCAGAGGCACGAACAACACTCGCAAGCGGATATGCTGTCCCCACTAACATGTTACGTCACGTCTGGTCGTCGTCGTCACTTCCATCTGCCGGTCTGTCGCTTCGTCACGTCATGTCATACCGTCGTGTCGAATCACCGTCACGGATCGGCGCCAGCATGTCAAATGCTCATTTTAAATCGACATGCTCAACTTTCACGCATGCACGGGCGCAAACAGGCTCACACGATGGTGTGTCTGTGATCTCTCGCATATGCATATCTCTCTCTCTCTCTCTCTCTCCCTCTCTCTCTCTTTTCTTCAGAGAAATGTTAGAGAGGGAGGGGAGGGGGAGAAGGAGGGGAAGAAGGAGGGGGAGATGGAGAGAGAGGAGAGAGAGAAGGAGAGAGAGGAGAGAGAGAAGGAGAGAGAGAGAGAGAGAGAGAGAGAGAGAGAGAGAGAGAGAGAGAGAGAGAAAGAGAGGGAGAGAAAGAGAGGGAGAGAAAGAGAGAGATTGAGAGAGAGATTGAGAGAGAGAGAGAGAGAGAGAGAGAGAGAGAGAGAGAGAGAGAGAGAGAGAGAGAGAGAGAGAGAGAGAGAGAGAGAGAGAGAGAGAGAGAGAGAGAGAGAGAGAGAGAGAGAGAGAGAGAGAGAGAGAGAGAGAGAGAGAGAGAGAGAGAGAGAGAGAGAGAGAGAGAGAGAGAGAGAGATTGAGGGAGAAAGGAAGAGATGGAGAGATAGAAGGGAGAAAGGAAGAGATGGAGAGAGAGAAGGGAGAAAGGAAGAGATGGAGAGAGAGAAGGGAGAAAGGAAGAGACGGAGAGAAAAACTGAAGGAGAGACAGAAAGAAGATTGGGAGGAAAGAGAGGGGAAAAAATATCGACGTAAAATTGTGAGCGAGACAAAGAAAAAAAATATCCTACACCTGACATTTTGCCTTTTGTTTCTTTGCGACAAACAAAACGCTCCAGGGTTGCCAGATGCACCATAATACCCGATGCCACAGGACCGTAATGAATCTTACCAAATCGAGATAAAAAATAATAATAAAAAATAATAAAATAAAAAATAAAATAAAATAAAATAATATTATATATATATATATATATATATATATATATATATATATATATATATATATATATATATATATATATATATATATATATAAAAGCCAAACGATCCTTCAACCCTCCATCCCTATTACACCCCTCCCCCCCACACAAACAGCAGGGCATAAACACACACACACACACACACACGTATATATATATAAGTGTGTGACCCTCGATGCCCGAGTGACGATAACGTAATATAAATCTTGGCAGCACAGCCTGAAAAGCTTAAAGGTGAGAGTCCCGTTCTCTCCCACGCCCACTCTCCCACTCCCGCGTTCTCTCTCTTTCCCGCACCTCACTCACTCTCACTCTCTCTTAGTCTCTCTTAGTCTGACTCTCACTCTCAATCTCTCTTATTCTCACTCTCTCTTAGTCTCACTCTCACTCTCTCTTATTCTCACTCTCATTCTCACTATCAATCTCTCTCTCTTACTCTCTATCTCACTCTCTCTTAGTCTCTCTTATTCTGACTCTGACTTTGTCTCTGTCTCTGTTTCAATCTATCTATCTATCTCTCCACGTATCTATATCTAGGAGGTTGTCATCTATATGTCTATCTATCGTGTGTGTGTATGTAATGTACATGCGTGCGTGTGTGTGCGTGCGTGCGTGTGCTTGCGTATGTGCGAGGGTATTTGTGTGTGCGTGTGTTTGTATATGGGCGAGTGTATGTGTGCGTGTGAGTGCGAATGGGCGTGTGTGGTACAGATGTGAGTGTCATGAAGTCAAGAAGCATAAAATAAACAAAGAAAACGGTAAGGCAAAACCTCACGAATTTCCATAGATAAAATGCCTAGATTAAAACCTTTAGGCCTACACGACAAAGCGACCACACACACAGATAGAGAGAGAGAGAGAGAGAGAGAGAGAGAGAGAGAGAGAGAGAGAGAGAGAGAGAGAGAGAGAGAGAGAGAGAAAGAGAGAGAAAGAAAGAGAGAGATAGAGAGAGAGAGAGAGAGAGAGAGACAGAGAAAGAGAAAGAAAGAGAAAGAAAGAGAGAGAGAGAAAGAAAGAGAGAAAGAGAAAGAGAGAGAGAGAGAGAGAGAGAGAGAGAGAGAGAAAGAGAGAGAGAAAGAGAAAGAAAGAAAGAGAAAGAAACAAACCAACCATTCAACAGAGAAAAGCTCTATCACACGACTATGACACTTCAAAACTGACATAAAAAAGTAAGAAATTAAGTCCATAGAAGAAGAATAAAAACTGCAAGTACGTGACACTCTAAAGAAGAGAGGAGGAGGAGGAGGAAAATGGAATAAAGGAGTGAGAAAGAAAGAAAAGGAGAAAGGAAGAAAAGGAGAGAGGAAGAAAGGAAAAAAAAGAGGGAAGAAGCAAGGGAAAATCAAGAAAGGAAAGAAGGGAAATGGTGAAAAGAATAAAAAGAAAAGAGAAAGGAAGGGAGGACAGGAGGGAAGGAGGAAGAGAGAGTAAAGGGAGGGATGACACACCCACCTACCCACTTATCCAACTGCTTACTTACCTACTCGCCTACCCACCTACCTACTTACCGACCCACCCATCCACCCACCTACCTACTTACCCACTCGCCCACCCACTCACCTACTTACTTACCCACCCACCCTCCTACGTACTTACCCATCCCCCCACCTACCTACCTACTTACCCACCCACCTACCAACTTACCTCCACACCCACTTACTTACATACCCACCCACCCACCCATCACCCTACCCACCTACCTACTTACCCATCCAACAACCTACTTACTTACCCGCCCATCCCCCTACCCACCTACCTACTTACCCACTCACCTACCCACCTACTTACTTACCCAACCACCCTCCTACGTACTTACTCACCCATCCCCCTACCCACCTACTTACTTACCCCCCCACCCACCTACCCACTCACCCACCCACCTACCTACCCATCCCACCCACCTACCTACTACCCACTCACCCACCCACCTACTTACATACCCACCCATCCCCCTACCCACCTACCAACTTACCCGCCCATCCCCTTACCCACATACTTACCGACCCACCCACTTACCTACCAACTCACCCCCCCACCCCCACCCACCTACCTACTTACCCACCCACCCACCCACCGAGGACGCGTGTGACGGCATGTGACACGGAGGATTCTGTTCCATCACGCCCCCTCCCCCCCCTCTGTCCTCTGCCCTTTGAAAACTGCCTTTCATTGTTCCGTGAAAGGAGGAGAAAGAAAAGAAGAAAAAAGAAGAAAAAAGAAAAAAAGAAAAGAAAAAGAAAAGAAAAAGAAAAGAAGAAAATAAGGAAAAAAGAAAAGAAAATAGAGAAGAAAAAATAAAAAAAAGGAAAAGAAAAAAGAAAAGAAAATAGAGAAGAAAAAAGAAAAAAGAAAAAAAAAAGAATGAAGAAAAACACGAAAAACTAAAAAAAGAAAAAAGAAAAAGAAAGAGGAAGAAAAAAAAGAAAAGAAAACGTGAAAGAACGTAGAACTAACAATAAGAATATATATATTTTTTAAATACACGAAAATTAAAAGTAATAAAAGAAAGAAGGAAAGAAAGAAAGAAAAGAAACTCTTTATCCACGAACACAAAGATCAGTCAGTAAAAAAATAAATAAATAAATAAAAATAAAAAACAAACAATAATAATAATAATAAAATAAATAAATAAATAAAAAATCTTGCTCTCACTACCGATGAACCCAAGTATACAAAATCACACACGCAAGGACCTTCAATAAAACAATAACACCAATTAAACAAACAAATAAATAAACTAAACACCTACAATCTTGGAACAAAAACGCACGAAAATCGCCTTACGTTACACAGAAAAAAGTGACATTTAGTTTCCCTCACACACCTTTTTCACATTTTCTTGGAAGAGTGACTTAGAGGGGGGGAGGGGGGGGGAGACTATGTGCCTTCCATGACACGCACACACACACACACACACACAAAAAAAGGGGGGGGAGGGGAGGAGGGGAGGAGAGAGGGGAGGGGATAGCACTTTGTAATGCCGATGGTGTTTATTCCGTGACGTTTGGGAATGTCGACTGTATGTTTGTAAGTATGTAAGTAAGTAAGTAGCCAAGTAAGTAAGTAAGAAAATAAAACAAAATAAAAAAACAGGATGTTTATTTGTAGTTGGCTGTATAGTTATAACTGATATTTTAAAATAGTGTTTATTTGTAACAGACAGTATATTTATAACTAATTTAAATTGAAGTGTATTAGGGTGTGGATTGTACATATTAGTATTAATAAACAAGTAAAACAACCAATAGAACCAATATTATTAACGGCAGGTCTATTAATACGTGATACTATCAGTACCATCATCATCAATATCACTACTAGTAATAATAGTAATAATAACCATTTTTTAAATTCAAATTGGTTACCATTTGTACCAGTAAATACAACTACACTATTTTTTTAAACATCACAGGACAAGAACAACAACACAAGACTTACAAACAACAAGAACAAAACGAATAAAAGCAAAATAAATTTCTTCCTGCAAGTGATTAAAAAAAGTCTTCTAAACTCAACTTCGAACTCCATTAAACAAGTCAATTTTTTAACACGACAACGGCATGCAAACCAAATCTCGTATTGATCTTCATGCACGGCAAAAAAGGGGAAGTGAAAATATGAGACAAAAAAAAAAGAAAGTAAAAACAAGAAATACATACATACATACATACATACATACATACATACACACACACACGACCTCAGATCATTCACACAATGGCATTTACTTCGCATTCTTGAACGAACAAAAACAAAAACAAAAATAAACATCCCTCTATCTATCTACCAACCTTAACAGTTTTTTTCTCCTCCCCCCTCCTCCCTCCCCCATCCCCACCACACGACTTTGTACCTTCTTTACGCGGCGCGTTTCTACAACAAAACAACCGCGCGGTCCGCCTGATAATAACCCCAGCATTGTCTAATTATCATAATCCTGAACGAGACACAGTAG